CTGCCAAAATGCACACAAAGACGAAATTCTATACAATTAACAATATATTTCGTTCGTTAAGCAAAGACGAAACACTTACATTCCAGTGACCAGTTGAAGAGCTCCACGTCCAGGTTTTGTACAACCCCATCAGGGTCCCTGATACGCGCCAATCTGTCCAGGAACTCGGCGGCTACAATGTTGAAATCGTCAGCGTAACTCTCAACAGTCTTGATCTTCATCAGTGGTTTGTCTACTACGCTGCGCATGCGCTGCCATTCCGGACCATCTCTGTCAAGTTCATATCAAACCATATATATCTATAAATATATATATACACACACGCACACGCACACGCACACGCACACATGTTCATTTACATACTGTACAAAATATAACTTGAACTTTAATCTTTGAGTGGGTGAGTTTTACGCCTCTTTTAGCGTTATTCCAGCAATATCACGGCGGGGGACATGGGCTTCACACATTGCACCTTTGGGGAAATTCGAAAACTTGTCTTCGGCGTGACGAGCGAACGCTTTAAAAAATAACCACTAGGCTACCCCACTGCCTCCTTTAAGGGACTGATAAAATGAAAAAATCCCCTACAGTCCAGGTGTAGGAACTGATCCAGTAGCTTAAAATGACAGCAAAAATATAATCACTTAATGCTGCTGTCAACATGGATTTACAAACATATTCAGCACAAATAATAAGGATAATGTACATAAATTAATAAATATTAACAAAGAACATACATTTCCAATGGAGACATAATATATAAGTGTGTATAGTTTTTCGTCGCTTTTAGCACTATTGCAGCAATATGACGACGGGAAACACCAGAAATGGGCTTCATATATTGAATTATATATAAACAAGACCTAACATAAATGTATGATTTTTGTGGCAATTTGTGTTAATTAATAGATTTTCTTGATACCCCTGTCAAAACCACAACAAAGATATCCTTTAAAAAATACCGACATCAAATATCACAGTACTTTGAACAAAAATGATTGAGCAATGAACACATATAGGTATGTGCCTTGCAATCAAACCGACCCTTAGATTTTTGTGTGTTTGTTGTTTAACGCCGAACTCAGCAATATTCCAGATATATGGCGGCGGTATAAATGATCGAGTCTTGGCCAGACAGTCCGGTGATCAACATCATGAGCATCGATCCACGCAATCGGGATACGATGACATATGACAACCAAGTCAGCGAGCCCGACCACCTGATTCCGTTGGTCGCCTCTTAGCATGGGTTACTGAAGATCAATTCTAACCCGGATCTTTACGGGTTGACCCTTACAACAACGCTGAGTAAATGATAGTACGTACGCAGTAAGCACGCCATCTGACTCCCCTGAATCCTTCCTGTACTGGTCCCAAACTTGGAACTTTGGCCGCATCGGATACTTGCCCTCTTGGCGGAGAAAGTCGCCTAAAGCCTCCACATCGGTGATCATCACAGTATCAAACACTCCAGTCTTTCCTCGGAAAATCGGCCCAAGTTGTTGATGCCGGGACCAGATAATTTCATGTCCTTTTCCTGGTCTTCGCAAAAATTCCGGCAAATTATTTATTATTGGATATCCTTTTTTAAAAGGGATGTCCATGAAGGGCTTAGCCGAAGCGAATTCGTATCTGGCCGACCCTGCTTCCGCGGTAGATCTGAAACGAACACATCCTGCCCAAACTTGAAGTGTTGGATATTGCGAAACTCTTCTGATTAAATGTGCCATGGTTAGTGTCCACCTTACACCTTCGACATCGAAGTATTCATGCAAAACCGCGTTATGGGATGAATTATGGAAGATGTCTTTTGTCCTGACTGAACGGATCACTGTTTACTTCACCTGACAGCACTGATGTTTGTGACTATAATTCTAAGCAGATAGTCCATGCACAGTTATGCCCCTTGCGTGGGTAGTGTATTTATCAGTAAGCTTATCACAGCGATACCTTCAGCGGAGCTCTCTCTGTATTGTCAAGTTGTGGATTTTAAAGAAGGAATTACGCGCTGAGGAGGAGCTTGGGTATTGACCCATATTGACTGGGTTCATGTCTAGTTGAATGCGTAAACGCGGTATGCTTGAGTTGCGTACTGGGTCAGGACTCGAACGATTTTAGGGCCAAAGCTCCTTCCAAATTAGACTAAGAACTAGTCTCTGAATGAACATATTTTACAGAAAAAAAGTTTTCTTTGAGAGGCATTTTAGAAGTTGTATAGATGAAGGAAAACCAAGTTCTATGGATAGTCAACTTCATTATTGCAATGAGTGCGACGTTTCGGTGTAGGTATTAACACCGTTATCAAGCAAGTGATCCGCTTGAGCCAAGTTCATAGTCAAAAATATAAAATAGAATGAAAAGGAGCTTTCTTGAAGCTGTTGAAATCTAGACTTGCGCTTTCTTGGATATACATTTGTATTTGCTTCAGGGTCTGTATGACAGATTACTTCCAAATGTGCGACACATTTGTTAGCAACCCAGAAAATAGGTACAGCAGTTGAGTACTGACTCCTCAGCTCTATGTCAGCGTGCATTCCGCTGTGAGGAGCTTGACCAACCGTGGGTCTGCGGAGTATTTTGTCATTCGCTGCTTGCAACGTAACACACGGGTTACAGAAGTATCTTGGGGCTATGATTTTGGACACATGTTCAGCATGGAAACAATTTTGATGTCAAATTATTATCATGATTTTAAAAATAACAGTATTGCTATATATTTAGCAACAGATCAACAATTGTTGATCAACAATCAACAGCGAAAATTCATGTATGTCATATTTATATGTAAGATATCTTTCCTTCACCAGGAACGAGGTACGTATGTCTTGAAACAGAGTGACTTGAAGACTGTGTTTCTTACAAAGATCTACATCTGGCATATACCATATGTTGTTTCTACTCATGTGAAATGGTCTACAGATCTGATTAGTTCAATGCAGAAATCACATCTAATGCTGATAATCCTAAACGCCTATTTTGCACCCTCAATAAACTCCTAGGGAAGACATCTGACGTAGTTCTGCCACAGGGAGTCGATGTTGCTCTTGCAAATGATTTCCAAAATTACTTCTCTGAAAAAATCACAAGACTTCGTCATAAGTTGGGTAGTCTCTGCGATGATGTCTCTTATAAAGAGTTCCAAGGACAACGCTTAACATCTTTCACACGTGTCTGAAAATGACATTATGAAAATCATAACATCATCAAAACCAACATCATGTGAGGCAGATCCACTATCAACCAAGTTCTTGCTGAAAGTACTAGACACCATTCTGCCTGTTATCACCAGGATTGTCAACCTCAGTTTATTATCTGGAATAGTGCCCAAGCGCTTTAAACAGGCAGTAATTAAACCTTTGATAAAGAAGCCATCATTGGAACCTGAAAACCTCAGCGGTTACCGACCAGTTTCTAATCTTTCGTTTCTTTCTAAAGTCCTTGAAAAAGTTGTCAAAAGTCAGATGCTTGGGCATTTACAGAACTTCGATCTGATTGATAAGTATCAATCTGCCTACAGGACTGCACATAGCACCGAAACAGCTCTAAATGGTGTTCTGGACAACATCAAGATGTCCGTAGATGACGGTAATATTGTCCTGCTCGTTCTTTTAGACCTCTCAGCTGCCTTTGATACTATTGACAATGCAACATTGTTATCAAGGATACAGATCGAATATGGACTAAACGGCACAGTCCTAAAATGGTTTTCATCATATCTAGAAGATCGTGTACAGTCTGTTCAAATTAACAGGGCACTGTCAGACAGACATGTCCTTGAATGTGGAGTGCCACAAGGCTCAGTTTTAGGACCAATACTGTACACTATGTACACCAAACCTCTGGGACAACTGATCTCTGATCATTGCATTGGGCGGCACTTTTATGCTGATGACTCCCAATTGGTGGATAACTTTAAACCAAGTCCAGACAGTCAGCAGAAGGCCAAGGATAACATGGAGTCGTGTCTCAATGATGTCAAGTCATGGATGACAAACAACAAACTGGTTTTAAACGATAGTAAAACAGAAGCCATCATTATTGCCCCACGTCAAAGACAGCAGAAGTGTCAAACTCAAAACCTTTGGTGCAAATTCATTTTCTCATGCTGCTGCCACTCTCTGGAACTCTCTACCATCGGATCTTAAAACCTCTCCATCACTCCCAGTCTTTAAGTCCAAGCTCAAAACTCACCTCTTCAAGAAATATCTATGACGTCAACTTTCCTGTACATATAACCTGTATATATGTTATGCGCTTAGAGCATGTCCCTGGGTGATGTGGATGAGGCGCTATAAAAGTACTCTTATTATTATTATTATTATTACACACACTGTAAGCAGAAGTGTGTGTGTGTGCGTGTGCGTGCGTGCGTGCGTGCGTGCGCATCTGTACATTCTTTTATTACCCAACTTACGCATGGAACTCTGGGTAGGAGAGTGTTATTACCCACGTGGTCAACGTATGGGTAGTTGCATACTAATCTCGTATGTCACACGAGTGTCGTATCGCGTTGACCTGTGTCGTAACGACTTGACCTGAGATTCCAACGATTTGATTGGATAACCGATGACCTCTCAGTTAGGTCACATTCTGACGTAACTATTTTTTCATTCTTAACAAACACGTGAATTCATTCATTCTACAACTTAAATGCATTGTGGGAATGTAAATATTGCGAACGTTGCCGTGTCGCTGTTTAATTGTGAGTCGAACTGAGACATTATATCCGTCGAAAAACATAAACGCAATGTTTCCACCAGTGATGTTAGCCGAATGAAGCAACTGCAAACCAAGAAACGGGGTGCTACGGAGTAGTTTACTGTAGGAGGCTGTACGAGGCGATGACAACTGACATGCATCGTGACGTCGGTTATATTACCAAGGCAGTGACGTCATTACAGTGTGACGTCATGCAAATATTGTACTACAGTTCAAAACTCTTCCGCAACCTCTTTATGAAACCGGTTTCGGTTTGAAACCAAAGAAATAACAAAAATACGCTATTTTGACAATTTAATACATGTAAGACGTGGGTAATAAATAAAATACCGCCCTTGGTCTCATTACATACGAATTATACGAAACTCGTGACCTTCCTATGATATCCCACCTCGCTTTCGCTCTGTCAGATACAATAGGAAGGACATTCGTTTCGTATATTTCGTATGTAATGAGCCCTCGTGTAGTATTCTCTATAGATGCACTTGAGAGCGGTCGTTGCCGCTTGACTTGTGTTAGAATTGTCATCCATTTCTTTTTTAATTGCATATGCTTCTTTTATAACCAAACGCGTGAATAAATATGGACTCTCTCTCTCGTTAAGGCAATTCGAGGAATCGAAGTTTTAGGTACTGCGACTTCGGTAGTCTGTCTCCGTCCTGAACCGTATTATTTCCCCTTCTGATAGCCTTTTCTACAGTGCTATAACCCTAAATGAACAAGTCTAGATTTCCTCAGCTTAAGGTTCTGAATCTCCTTTCTCACTTCGGCTCCTTTTCAATTTCAAAGGAATTGTTTGTTTTTATCAAAATTATATATATTCAGAGACAAAGCGTCAGTCTGAGCCTTTGGCTCCTCATATCTGATTGGTAACCCAAAGGCGATGCCCGAGTTGACGAGATCGCATATTTATCTTATGATCAAATAGGTGATTATTCAGATTATCAGAGTTCAACATGCCATTTCGTGAATCCAAATATTTGTCATGGATACATGGGCACCTGGTCACATTGTTGGTTGATGAACCTTCCGGTCATAAGATCATATTCTTATCTAATTAGACCGCATTCGTTTTGCTTCTCTGTGAGGTATGTGACTCCGTCATTAGGTTGTAGCAGGTTGTCTATCCACAAGCTTCACCTTGACAGGATCTTTTGGTCGGGTCAGTACCAACTGAAGAAGGTCCGGAGGAGGCTGGTCGCACGGCTCCAGATCAAATCTCTGTAACATCTGACAAACAAAACAAGACCATGATCTCTGTGGCTCCCTGAAGGCTTGGTAATGTTTTTATAGCATTTAAATCTTCAAAATATAAAATCATATTCGTCAAGTTAGGTCTTAAAGTAAACAAATAACGTTCTACACTGTCCTTCTTCTATTGTCCTCGGTTATTTGAAGGGCAGAAGGTCTGCCGCAGAGCGGATATCGGGGAAAAGAAAACATATTTAAAGATGGTACCTTATAATTTACCATACCTGGTGCTCGAGAACAAAGGGAAGAACCAAGGTGATGTGAGGTGAAATGGGGTTTAACGTTTTAGCTTACTGAGATACCATGCCACAGTTAAGAATGAATACCTCACTCAGACACTTTATAGACTCCGAGCCGACCAGCCAACCAGTCCTTGTTTTACCCACTAATGCCGAACGCCACCCGCGACTTTCTGCGGTCCGGGCGGACGCTCTAACCGCTACACAACGGAGGCGGTCAGAACCTAGGAAAGGTCGGAGTTGGGTGTGCCTATTAAATTGCCAGATGGTATTTCAGTGGGCTAGCACTGTAAAACGTTACTTCATGACAACGCACTTGTTACGCCATGACGTTGTGACCCTGTGACCGTTGACTGAGTACATCATGTCGTTCTGACCCCATGACTTTAAACCGAGTATGCCATCTCGTTCTGACCAATTGACCTCACATTGGGTACGTCTTTGTCATCCGATGGTTTCCAGTGTGAGTATGAAAACTCAAAGTGACGTTGTGACGGAATGTGCATGTGGTTGAGATCTTCCGCTGGGCACATCCTGATCTGACTGGAGTATTCTGTTTACAGCTAACTTTAAAAAGTACACTTGATCTGACACCATCTATACAAAGTTGTGTCTCTTCTGACATGAAACTAAGTACATGTCATCTTTTATGTAACGCGTTCAACCGCAATCAAAGGTACTCCAACTGAATCAAATATTAAGAGGTTATTACATGACAGTTTTCTTTTCGCCAGTCATATCAGCCCGAGACTACCATATCATCCCGAGGGCCAACCTGTCATATCATAATCTTTTTCTCATATACCACATCAGGTGACGTAACTCTAAAATAAATTAGGCTCCGTCTATTGAAGTTTCGAGCATTTGCACGTTTTCATTCCGTACCAGTTTAGTAGCTGGTCAATACGGCTGATATGGCTGATGTGTATTTTCGGCCTGGGTGGTCAGTATGGACATATGCCGACACCCAGTATTGTGCGTGTAAAATGGTCCATATTATTCATAGGTATATAATAATCTTCAATACAATTCTATACTAAATGGAGAGAAAGGAAGGGAACGAGAACCATCGTTTCGTACCATACATACAGTCTCCGACACATCGCCATTCCTTACCTGAGATATCAGGAGCTGCATTTCCAGTTCCGCGACTCGTCGACCTGAACATCAAATATAACAAAGAACGATAAGCACTGCCTTATAACATTACCAGGAAGGAAGGAACGTTTGTGTGCAATACATTCTGATTGGTCAGCAAAAAACGACATGACACAAACACATCAAACCTTGGTAACATCGGGGCCGTTCATAATCTATGAAAGAGATTACGAGAGACGAGAAATGATGATTTTAAGAGGGGAGGGTGTCACCCACATTGTTCTGGGGAGGGGATGTCATCAAGCCTGTACATAGGTATATTTATCGAATTTGCTTATAAATTATGGGAAACGGTTGGGTGGGGTTGGGGGAGCTCATTGATTTTGTACATGACATGCAGGGGTGGGGGCACTTACTATGTACATAAATTTTAGGGGGGTCATTCACATTGTACATGCTTCTCTATAAAAATCATCATCGCGCACACCCACACCCACGTCATAAATTATGAACGGTCCCTTACGTCTTCTAAACAATGGCCTGATTTTATTACGCCCTCTTTGTCTTTCTTGCAGCCCTATTGCAATACACGATCCCCATCGCAATAGTTGTTTCCCCTCTCAGTAGTCAAGCATTATTCCTCTCGGAGTCGCTACACTTTGTCTGAATAAAGTTTCCATGTTAAACTGTGGTATGTGGCATGTTCTGGCTCATCATAAACAACCATCATTACTTCATGCACCTCCTTACATATCCAACTACATGTACACTACATTCATGTTCATTAATATGATGAAGTACATCAATTCCATTTCTATAAATAACTCGGTAAATACTTTGCGAATGAAATCAAGAATTGCCTCATGGTGCCAATATATGTTGTAGCATTGTGATGCGGGGTAGACAGGGTTTAATCCACCGAGCAGGAGGTAGGATAATGGTAAATAACATCTTCATATTGACACTCACCAATGCACATTCTTGGTCCGAAGCCAAACGGGAGATGTGAGAATGCCAAAGGTTTCTCGCCGTCCTTTCTGCTTTCTCTCAGCCAGCGTTCGGGTCGAAAGGTCAAGGGGTCATCATACATTGACGGAAGTCGTCCAGTGACATATAACGACACCGCTACCATTTTCTGCAACATATAATACCGATTTTCGGCAGTCAAGAGACGTCTATACACTGGCAGATCACTGGTACACTCATCTGAGGTACATTTCGCATCAAGGACAGTCTAGAAATATTAAAATATTAAATATTATATACATGGAATTGATTAACTTCTGTCGTCCTACATATATATATATAGTATGACCAGAAATTATTGAGAATTTTAGGAATATGTTTAATTGGATTTCTAGTATAAACAACCTTGATCAGCTATCAAGTGCTTGGTTTCATTCAAGAGAGACAACTCCGTCAATCCTTTTTCACTAGTTTGTGAAGAGTTATCCCCCTTTGTTTACTTGCTAGCAGACGACATTTTCAGTGATCCTCAGTATGGATGGTTCAGAGAAGAGGAAGTTGATTTTAGAGTATTATAACAAGGACATGAGATCAGCTAAAGTGATTTCAAGTAGAACAGGCATCCCTTTGTCCACTGTTTATCGTGTTTTGAAAAATATTGCAAATGGATATGGCATTGAGCACCAGGGAGGCGCAGGTAGGCCCAGAAAATTGACTGTCGGTGACAGGAGGCGGCTTGGTATTCTTGTTTCTAAAAACAAACGAAGGAGTTTAGAAAACTTAAGGCTGGATATGATTGATAGAGGAACTGTGGCTGTCTGTAAGGAGACAATTAGAACTGAGCTGCATGCAATGGGTTGGCAGACAAGTCGAGGAATTCCATCACCGAATCATGAAACCCAAACAAAAGGAGCGAAGGTTGAACTGGTGCTTACAGCATAGAAATTTTAACGGGGACAATGTGATTTTCTCAGATGAAAGTTCTGTGTGACTGTTTCCTATTACACTGAAATTCTGGACCAAACAAACTGAAAAGCCTTTGTATTAGCGTCCAAAGTACAGTCCGAATTTTAACGTGTGGGGTGGCATATCTGTGTTAGGGGCAACGCCCCTCTGTGTATTTGAAGGGAATATGGACAGTGAGCGGTACACAGATATTCTCGAGGGACATTTACTTCCATCTGCTCACGTGTTCTATGGAAATTTCTGGATTTTCCAGCAGGACAACGACCCAAAACATCGTTCAAAGCATTCACAGGCCTGGTTTCGGACCCAATATATGACATTATTAGATTGGCCAAGCTATAGCCCTGACCTAAATCCAATAGAACATGTTTGGGGACTTATGAAGGAAAGTGCCAATAAGAAATATCTGACAAATATTGAAGAAATGAAAGAAGAGGTGGACCTCGACTTTCTAACTTCTTTGATCAGTAGTATGCCCCGCCGCATTGAAGCCTGCATTGCTGCCCATGGTGACTTGACAAAATACTAACTGTTCACCTGTCTTTGAATCTGGAGTTATGTTCTGCTAATATTCACATTTAATACGCGAATAATGAGTGAAAAAAAATATAAAAATTACAATATTTAAATTCTCAATAATTTCTGGTTGTACTGGTATGTACACAGTGTGAGGGGCGGTAGGGTAGCCTAATGGTTAATGCGTTCACTTGTAACGACAAACATCCGGGTTCGATTCCCTACATGGTTACAATATGTGAAGACTATTTCTGGTGTCCCCCCGCCGTGATATTTATGGAATATTGCTGAAAGCGGCGTAAAACCACACTCACTCATATAATGTGACGAGGTGTACAGATGTAACATCGAACTACTTGAGGCCCCCCTGAAGATCGATGCTCGTGATGTCAATATCTGTATTGTCTGGTTTAGACTAGACTATTTACAGACCGCCATCATAGAGCTGGAATATTTCTCTGTACTACGACGTCAAACGTAAAACAATAAATACCTTAGTGTGTACAAACTATGAACACATGAACAGTCATACCACTTAATGTTTGCATCAGTGTAATGACTATTTTTCATTCAGGGTGTGTACCTACCCCTTTTTGGCACCTGGTATCCCATGATAACCACATCTTCCTGGGCCACCCTACCTACGAAGCTCCCGACAGGGTACAACCTATAAAACAAAACAAAACAATTCATCCGAAGAATAAGAACTATTTCGTATACTTTTAATAATCATGTACAAATTTCCACAAATGCCATTACACACTGAATGGTATTACCTGAGCGTTTCTTTGATAACTGCCTTCAGGTAGGGCATAGTCCTGAGATGTACGGGGGTGGGGATTTCCCCAGGGGGCACCGACCTCTCCAGTTCCTCTCTCAGCTTCTTTTGAACATCCGGGTTCTTGGTAACCTCATATAAGATGAACTGGAGGGTGTTTGACGTCTGTGAAAGGTGACTCACATCAATCAACTGGCCCTTGTTAACAGCCACGAAAGTGAGGAAATAGGAACATAGCAAGAAAACAAAGTCATCTATTCATCTATATCCCCTGTCTTTGTCTGATCTTGAAAGGAATGTCATGTGCAAAGATAAAGAGACTGTAAATATTAACTGACTTGTCAACCTTGTGGAAGAGGTTGACCACAACACATACTTACGGCATCTCCAAAAGTAACATTTACTTTCTGAAATTAACACTTTCTACGAAAAGAAAAACGGTTCTGAATTATAATCATAAAATATGAAAGCCCATAGACTTTCTTCATTTTCAACTGTGGTGATCTAGACTTGCCACATATGCTAGGCTTGCATGGATTTTCTTGGGATATATTTGTTTCAAGATCTGTGGATGACGCGAAGTTAGCAAATAGTAAGTTAGATATTATTTTGTCTTATCAGCAAAGCAAGATGCATGTATGTGGAAACTGTATAACTGACCGTGTCGACAGCAGCACTATTCAATTCCGTGACGTTGGCGTATATTTCGTTTTTGGACAAAGTGTCTTTCAGAAGCAGGTACTCCAGGAACCCAACCTCCTCCTCCTCTCCCTCGCTCACGGTCCTAGACTTCAGTTTAACCAGAGCTTCGTCCACGCACTGTCGAGCTGGAACACAAGTTGTACCCAAGTTACATACATGATGATGTGCATGTTTTCAAAGTACTACATCCACATAGATAACTGCATAATTTTTACCATGTGTGATTTAGACCTCATTATCCAGAGCATATAAATTTTAGACCTCATAATCTTTTACCATATATAATACAGATAGCATTATTTACATCATACATAATTTAGACCTCATACTTTTTACCATATATAATTCTACACGCGTTCTGTTGAAACGATCTTGACACAAAACCGCACAATAAGGGGGTGTGGTCGAAGCAAGCCCTCTGGTTGGTTAATGCTGATTAAGGAGACATTTACAACTGATGCTTTCTTTTGAGAAGCCATTGCTCGAAAAATATTATTACATTAACAAGTCGATGAAAGAAAACATTCCCGCGAATTTATAAAGAATGTGCAGATTTGCAAGCGTTGACCAATCAGAGGCTTGCTTCGACCACACCCCCGTTTTGTGCGGATATATCGTCGTCCATTTGTGTTAAGATCGTTTTCAATCGACTTGCAGAATTAACAATAAAGAATTGGTAGATGTCATGAGTTGTCATCGATAGGCCAATCATCCATGATTATGTTTACATTACATTTTAATCGATTGCATGCGAGGGTAGCGTAGCGATCGGCAAAGCAGGCGAGTGGGATACACTAAAGTGTCCGGCCTTGTCATAATGTATTGTACTGTGTAGTATTTCGAGTCGGGGGTCAGCTCAAATGTTTTATGTTTTTTAACATCTTTAATCCTCGCGAAAACACGAGGGCCTGTGAATGTGCACACATTTAGGAAGTCCCTCTCGCTCCTCGCTCACACTTCCACGTCAGATCACTACACTGTTTCAAGATACGGCTTCACCTACCCACTCGGAAGATTGTGTCCCAGGATTGTGTGAACTCCCTGTATTTGGATGGTCGGAGAAGCTTGGCCAGCCAGGGGGGAAAGACCGCTATCTCAGCAGTAGTCTCAAGCATAGACCTAACTGCCTTTACAAACTGTTCACTGTCGGGACTGCGGGTGTCGGTTAAACACCCCATTCGTTTGTTGTACAGTAGCGTACATATAGCTGAAAGTTGTACAACAGAAAAGAGATAGAACAAGCATTGTCACTAAGGTGACATAATCCCCCGCCGCAAATTATCAAATCAAACTTAAAAAGTAATGAAAGTGAAGGTTGTAATTTAAGATGAAGTGAAATGTCAACAAAACCATGACCACTCAACCTCTCTTGATATCTTATCTCTAGTTGTTCAAACGCACACACTTTGACCTTGACATGAATGTCTTAGTGTATGAAATATGCAAACATAGTAATAAACAAATTGCTTATTGAAAAACATTCAAAAGAAGTCTTGAAAGTCTTGAAGAAAATCCAGTGAACTGTTCATGAGATATCTCGCTGACAAGCTTGACGTGCAGCTTACCATGCTGAAATCTTCAAAATGTCGCCGTGACCTTGAAAATTAGGCGAAGGTCACCTAAATGAACTGGGCTCTGCGCCTTCCTTAGATAAAGCTTGGTGTTGAATATGAAGAAAATCCAGAGAACGGCTCTTGAGATATCTCGCGATCGCTGACAAGGGTAAAACGTTAAAGTCACCTTGTGACCTTAAAATGAAAGGTCAAGGTCACCAAACTGGGACTGACTGGGACCTTTCTTTTACTGTGACCAACCTAGGTACCAAATATGAAAAGAATCCAGTTAACGGTTCTTAAGATATTCCAATTCGTACGGACGGACGGACGGAGCCTAATACTATATCCCCAGCTTCGCGCTTAACGCGCGGCGGGGGATAAAAATGAACAGAGTGAATGAAAGGACGACTATTAAACTCATTACTAAAACTGTTACACATAACTGCCAAAATGCACAAAAAGACGAAATTCCTATACAATTAACAATATATTTCGATCGTTAAGCAAAGACGAAACACTTACATTCCAGTGACCAGTTGAAGAGCTCCACGTCCAGGTTTTGTACAACCCCATCAGGGTCCCTGATACTCGCCAATCTGTCCAGGAACTCGGTGGTTACAATGTTGAAATCGTCAGCGTAACTCTCAACAGTCTTGATCTTCATCAGTGGTTTGTCTACTACACTGCGCATGCGCTGCCATTCCGGACCATCTCTGTCAAGTTCATATCAAACCATATATATCTGAAAATATATATACACACACGCACACGCACACATATTCATTTACATACTGTACAAAATACAACTTGAACTTTAATCTTTGAGTGAGTGAGTTTTACGCCTCTTTTAGCGTTATTCCAGCAATATCACGGCGGGGGACATGGGCTTCACACATTGCACCTTTGGGGAAATTCGAAAACTTGTCTTCGGCGTGACGAGCGAACGCTTTAAAAAATAACCACTAGGCTACCCCACCGCCTCCTTTATAGACTGATAAAATGAAAAAATCCCCTACAGTCCGGGTGTAGGAACTGATCCAGTAGCTTAAAATGACAGCAAAAATATAATCACTTAATGCTGCTGTCAACATAGATTTACAAACATACTCAGCACAAATAATAAGGATAATGTACATAAATTAATAAATATTAACAAAGAACATACATTTCCAATGGAGACATAATATAAGTGTGTATAGTTTTTCGTCGCTTTTAGCACTATTCCAACAATATGACGACGGGGAACACCAGAAATGGGCTTCACATATTGAATTATATATAAACAAGACCTAATATAAATGTATGATTTTTGTGGCAATTTGTGAAAATTAATATATTTTCTTGATACCTCTGTCAAAACTACAACAAATATCACGGTACTTTGAACAAAAATGATTGAGCAATGACCACATATAGGTATGTGCCTTGCAATCAAACCGACCCTTAGATTTTTGTGTGTTTGTTGTTTAACGCCGAACTCAGCAATATTCCAGATATATGGCGGCGGTATAAATGATCGAGTCTTGGCCAGACAGTCCGGTGATCAAATTCATGAGCATCGATCCACGCAATCGGGATACGATGACATATGACAACCAAGTCAGCGAGCCCGACCACCTGATTCCGTTAGTCGCCTCTTAGCATGGGTTACTGAAGATCAATTCTAACCCGGATCTTTACGGGTTGACCCTTACAACAACGCTGAGTAAATGATAGTACGTACGCAGTAAGCACGCCATCAGACTCCCCTGAATCCTTCCTGTACTGATCCCAAACTTGGAACTGTGGCCGCATCGGGTATTTGCCCTCTTGGCGGAGAAAGTCGCCTAAAGCCTCCACATCGTTGATCATCACAGTATCAAACACTCCAGTCTTTTCTCGGAAAATCGGCCCAAGTTGTTGATGCCGGGACCAGATAATTTCATGTCCTTTTCCTGGTCTTCGCAAAAATTCCGGCAAATTATTTATTATTGGATATCCTTTTTTAAAAGGGATGTCCATGAAGGGCTTAGCCGAAGCGAATTCGTATCTGGCCGACCCTGCTTCCGCGGTAGATCTGAAACGAACACATCCTGCCCAAACTTGAAGTGTTGGATATCGCGAAACTCTTCTGATTAAATGTGCCATGATTAGTGTCCACTTACACCTTCGACATCGAAGTATTCATGCAAAACCGTGTTTTGGGATGAATTATGGAAGATGTCTTTGTCCTGACTGAACGGATCACTGTTTACTTCACCTGACAGCACAGATGTTTGTGACTATAATTCTAAGCAAATAGTCCATGCACAGTTATGCCCCTTGCGTGGGTAGTGTATTTATCAGTAAGCTTATCACAGCGATACCTTCAGCGGAGCTCTCTCTGTATTGTCAAGTTGTGATGTTTAAAGAAGGAATCACGCGCTGAGGAGGAGCTTGGGTATTGACCCATATTGACTGGGTTCATGTCTAGATGAATGCGTAAACGCGGTATGCTTGAGTTGCGTACTGGGTCAGCACTCGAACGATTTTAGGGCCAAAGCTCCTTCCAAATTAGACTTAGAACTAGTCTCTGAAATGAACATTATTTTACAGAAAAAAATAGGCATTTTAGAAGTTGTATAGATGAATGAAAAGGAAGCCCTGGAGACTTTCTTTGAACATGTGGAAATCTAGACTACCACATTTTTATCAAGACTTGCGCTTTCTTGGATATATTTGCTTCGTCAAAAATTTGTATAGAATGATTACTTCCAAATGTGCTGTGGAACATTTAGTTAGCGACTCGCTTTCTGGGTATATTTTGCAGTTGAGGGTTCTGACTCCTCAGATTACTTCCAAATGTGCAACACCGCTGTGAGGAGCTTGATCAACCGAGGGTCGGCGGTACAGCAGTTGAGTCCTGACTTCCCAGGCCTCTCATGTTAATAAAGTGCTCTATATGTAACTACTGAGAGGCCCGTGAATCTCAACCGGAGAGGCCCGAGAACCAGTATGTTTTGTCATTCGCTGCTTGCAACGTAACACGGGTTACAGAAGTATTTTGGGGCTATGATTTTGGACATATGTTCAGCATGGAAACAATTTTGATGGCAAATTATTATCATGATTTTGAAAATAACAATATTGCTGCAACAGATCATTGTTGATCAACAATCAGAAAATTCAACATATTTATATGATTCTTTCCTTCACCAGAACGAGGTACGATGTCTTGAAACAGAGTGACTTGTGTTTCTTAAAAAGATCTATGTCATATTTATATTTATTACCCACGTGGTCAACGTGTGTGTGTGCGTGTGCGTGCGTGCGTGCATCTGTACATATTACCCCGCATTCTCTGGTAGGAGAGTGTTATTACCCACGTGGTCAACGTATGGGTAGTTGTATCGTACGTCACACGAGTTTCGACCTGTCTGTCGTAACGACATGACCTGAGATTCTAACGATTTGACTGGATAACCGATGACCTCTCAGTTAGGTCACATTCCGTCGTAATTAATTTTTCATTTATAACAAACACGTGAATTCATTCATTCTACAACTTAAATGCATTTTGGGAATGTAAACATTGCGAACGTTGCCGTGTCGCTGTTTAATTGTGAGTCGAACTGAGACATATCCGTCGAAAAACATAAACGCAATGTTTCCACCAGTGATATTAGCCGAATGAAGCAACTGCAAACCAAGAAACGGGGTGCTACGGAGTAGTTTACTGTAGGAGGCTGTACGAGGCGATGACAACTGACATGCATCGTGACGTCGGTTACCAAGGCAGTGACGTCATTACAGTGTGACGTCATGCAAATATTGTACTACACTGGAAAAATCTTCCGGAACCTCTTTATGAAACCGATTTTGGTTTGAAACCAAAGAAATAACAAAAATACGCTATTTTGTCAATTTAATGCATGTAAGACGTGGGTAATAAATAAAATACCACACTCGGTCTCATTACATACGAATTATACGAAACTCGTGACCTTCCTATGTTATCTGACCTCGCTTTCGCTCGGTCAGATACCATAGGAAGACACTGGAATATTGCTAAAAAGCGGCGTAAAACCAAACTCAGTCACCAGTCAAATCGGTCAGTCAGTCTATATACACACCCACTTCATCATAGATACTCAACATGTATACTAAAACACTGTATGTATTTTACCACTGTGATATTGGAGACAAAATACACTTCAGGTCAACCCCTTGCAAGGCAGGTTCGTGTGGGACTTGTCAATACGATTAAATTCGTTATATTTATGATGTTATTACATTGTTGTAAACATAAAATCGACATAACGTTAACATTAACGGGATGTTAACCATATCTTTATGATACATGATGTCAACATGTCATTGAATTTATATGATGTCGATTACATCATGTTACATGGTGTCATTTGTGGAATATATTGGATAAATTCACTCTTTGTAGTCTGTATTTATACCCTTTTTGGTCAGCATTTATACTGTTCGCCACATGAAATATATCGACACACACACACACACACACACACACACACACACACACACACACACACACACACACACACACACACACACACACACACACACACACACACACACACACACACACACACACACACACACACACACACACACACCTTGTGCTGAAAGTTTGTTAAATGACCATTGAAACTCGGGTGAAAATGAAGTGTGCGCCCCTCCTTTTCTCAATAGTGTGCGCCTCCCCCTTTCTCAAAAAGCTGTATCCGCCCCTGGATGCGTCATCAGATTAGGTCCATGCGAGTTGAGGAGCGACCCGTTACACTAATTCTACAAAGTCTATGTTCTCATGAAATGTTTACATATCTGTTGGTTTCAATTTATAATCACGTGAGCTACATCGAAATCTAAGAGACCTGTTCTAAATTTACGAATATTTACAATGTCAAATAAAGGTCTACTATCGTTGTAGTCTTAATACAGTGATGTAATTAGTTTTTCTAACAATGGACAAGGAGCCATGCTAAACCGTGTTTTTGGGATGAATTATGAAGATGTCTTTTGTCCTGACTGAACGGATCACTGTTTACTTCACCTGAGTACAGATGTTTGTGACTATAATTCTAAGCAGAATAGTCCATGCACAGTTATGCCCCTTGCGTGGGTAGTGTATTTATCAGTAAGCTTATCACAGCGATACCTTCAGCGGAGCTCTCTCTGTATTGTCAAGTTGTAATGTTTAAAGAAGGAATTACGCGCTGAGGAGGAGCTTGGGTATTGACCCATATTGACTGGGTTCATGTCTAGTTGAATGCGTAAACGCGGTATGCTTGAGCTGCGTACTGGGTCAGGTCTCGAACGATTTAACCCCCTGGCTGCCGAGTTTTTTTTCAGGCGCACATTTTCATACGGTTTGAAAAGTAAACGTTTTGCGAGAATTGCGCTCGCGTGGTCCTGGATATACGTACGGCTATAAAATTACACAGAAATGTAGAATATTAAATTTCCTATCCTTTGGTATAAATATAAGCGCAACTACCTTGGCGGTTTGAGAAATGGACACTGCTAAATGTTGTCCAATTTTTTGTTATGCGTTAAAAAACAGTAAATTTATCCGCTTTTTATCGCGCACCGATAAAAAGCACTGTGCTGCGAATTTTTTAATGTGGCATCTTTACGGAAAGTGTGAGCGAAGAAAATGCAGCCTGATATCTGAACGACATAAATGTTTATGAATTGGGTTTATGTGCTTGTGCATAACGTTATACGCTCAACATTAAAAATGACTCGCAATAAATGTAAAAAATGGATTTTCTTCTATGACGTCAAACGACGACAGAGAGGTCATACACGTATAATGATAAGGGGGCATAACTCCGTTTTGCGTAACACTAGGTCAATGTAACTCAGATCACTTGGAAAGATTTTGTTGCGGATACGGACGCTTTATTTTCGTTATTTTATATTCATGGTGAACCAAACTATTCCAATTCAAAGTTCCCCAATGTGAACGGATGCGCTTTGGTAGTTTCACAATTTATAAGAAAAGATGACAACGTATTACATGTGAAAGCACGTAATAGCGATTTGAATGGCCCTATCCGATAGATAAGTTAGTTCTTAGATTCCCATATTCTCCTGTTTGTGTAGATGTAATTTGACTAATTTTGCATCGTTATTACCAGAGTACTAGCCATATCTTCAAATGTAACGAAATTGCTGAAAATAATACAACATTTTAGTTGACGTCATTGCTTGTTTTATGCATTTTGCGACGTCGGAAAAGACGACATTGGTATGCTGATTAGTATATATCTCACCTAATTTCCATTAACTGTATAAAAAGATCTCGGCTTCTACGTCAGAATTTAACACTCTTTAGACAAAACATAAAATGACTGATTTTTCCATTTAAATAGTGTCCTGAATATATCAACAATTAGACGGTTTGACAGCGTATCTTATTGTGAACAACACGCGCACCTGTTTGGCATCAATTTAACGTAAATAAAAATAATATTTCACAACACCCGAATATTTTGTTTGGGATAAGAATTTTGTTTGTTTATGATTATGTAGCTATTTCTCTTCATACGTATGCAATGAAAGATGCAAAAGATAGCTTTTTTATATATGGAACTATATATTAGAATATGGATGTAAGATTTGTCCGAATTAACACATGAGATGGGTATATATATTTTTCAACAATTTTTCCTATAAATGTAGTTAGAGTTTGATATCCATGTCATCACAATATTATTTAATCGAATATGAATTGAATATATTATCGAAAACAATGATAAGAGAATCATAAAACGTTTCCAACAAACGCACCTTGCCGATGAATATGCATCATTCTTTTGTCTATAAAAACGACACAAAATTATGCAATGAACAAGACAATTCCTTTAAACATGTGTGCATATACATTTCATACCATATATAAATCATTTTCATTAATATTATCAGTTTTACATATAAGGTTGAATTAAATCACCGTCCATTAACCTGTTCATATGAAATTGCAATATTAGTCCAAATAAATTGAATATTGTACATCATAGGAACTAAAGTAGTTGCAGTTATGGCTACGTTTGATCTTCTAACACTTGTGTAAAAGGTTTAGAATATGGTGTATTGCACTAAATATGTCAATTTCTTATGTAAATATGATTCAAACAATCAAAAACTTTCAAAGAATAAAACACCGTAAACCCTATATGCACGTATGATATGATATTGAACAAGGCTAAATGTAGATACTGAAGTCAGTTTCATGACAAAAGTATCTGAACTATACGCAAAATATACACCATAATACTGACAGTGTAATCGGAAGGATTGGGCGATTGTGTTTACTCTTGTTCAACCGACCTT